GGCTTTGGAGGGATTGTCATGCGCCAGCCCTAACCCCTCCTCCCTCATCGTGTGTCCTCGGGGGTGGGGTGGTGCAGCGAGGTGGGCCGGGGTGCACATACAGGGCCCGGGGGGCCGGAGCCGGGCTCACGGGGCAGGGCACCTCCAAGGGACCCGTCAGCCATTCAACAGTCCGGGTAGCGAGGGCTCGGGGGACACACTAGGCCGGCGGGGCGAGCCGAAAGGGGACCGTGAGCCGCCAGGAGAACGCCAGCGCTGGCCTGGGCGCGGAGCACACGGAAGTGATGTGATGGGCGCGCCCGCGAGCGACCAGCGTCCGGCGTGAGCCGCGTCCAACGGCCCGGTGAGAGATCCATCGGGAATGTCCGTCACATCCGTGTCGGTGTCCGTGTGCGAGTCGGAGGACGTGGGCCCGTCGGCGGCGGACTTCCCCAAGCGGAGCGGTACGGCGGACAGTGCGCTCGGGCTGGGGCTCGGCGTCCGCGAGGACGAGGACGACTTTGGGCGAGTCGGCGTCACTCAGGTGAGCGCCGGTAGGGTGATGTCATCCTGTCGCAGCCCACGGCGCACATCTTCGTCCGAGCAAATGTTACGTCGTAATAGACTTCATTTCCTTGAGGAAATTTTGTGACATTATTTTGGACCGTATTAGGGAAGTTTGTACGAGTTGGATTGAAAGCTGTCACAATTCGGTCTTAATGTTTTGAAACGTGCAGTTTTTGTCCCAACAAGCGTTTGAAAACGTCGCATTCGTGATCCTCCAGGTGACGCTCGTCACCAACGGTGGCTACGGCGGACTCCGGACTCTGCCCGGCGGGGGCAGCACCCGCTCCGACAGCGGTATCGCCCTCTCCGTCGACCTCCAGGATGGCGGCGGCCAGGAGGCGCCCGGTAGCCCGGAGGGTCGGCAGCGCTCCGGCAAGCAGCTCACCGTGTCCTTTGAGGGCGTGGACAGAGGCCCCGGGGGCCCCGGGGTCACCGTCACCCTGCAGATGGCTCCGGAATCCGAGGAAGGGTGAGGCAGGCATAGTCGCCTCGGCGCCAGGTAGTCGAGTGTTGCAGTTCGCGACGAGGAGTTCTTGGCTAATTAGCTCCTAACCAAACCATACGCGTACACCGACTTTTAAAATTACCTTTTCGACCCTTCAACGATCACTGAATTTTTCTACTGGTTGATTTTCTACTGACTTTTTGCCCTTTTAATCGACGTTTCCATGTACTATTAAAATATTTCAGTTTTCGACTGAGAATTCTGTTCACCTTTTCGTAACTTTTATTTTAGTGTAAGTCGTGAATTAACCTGAATTAACCAAAAGCCGACTTGCTTGTTGCAGCGATCACTCTCTGGCCGCCGACCTGTCGGAGACGTTCTCCGAAGGCGAGGACGTGGACGCCGAGGTGGCGGCGGTCATGGTGCAAACCTCCGCCGCCCACCGTGGAGGCCAGCGAGGATCCCAGGCCTCCCCGTCGCTGTCCCCCACGGCCGGGGTCTCTGCCGCGGGTGCGGGGCTCCCCGCCTCTGCGGAGAGCGTCCCCACCGTCCCCACCGGGCCGGGAGAGCTGGTCGACCTGCAGTTCATCCTGCCGAGCGACAAGAACTGGAAGAACAAGAACTACTTCAAGCTGGTCGAGAAGCAGCGCGCTCTGGGCGCCACGCCCATGGCCTCTGCGCGAGACGTGTGAGTAGCGCACAGCTGCGCCCAGAGCCCAGGGTCGCCCGGCTGGCATGGCGGAAAACGGCAAGACCGGCATTGTCTTATCAATCAGCCTGCATGACCGCTCGCTGCTGCCACTGCGCCGCGCCGCACCCCCC